GCTACTTGAGCTACTGTTCACTCAAGTGTCTATCACTAGGCTACTTGAGCTACCATTCTCGGTTTCGCACCGAGGAATGGAACCTCGGCCGCCGAGATCCTAACCACTAGGCCACTAATGGTATGATCAAATGTAAAAATAAAAATTACCAGACCTTAGTAGGTCACATCCCCTCCCATTTGAAGAGGCAGATAGGTTCCACAAAAAACATACATAAGGAACCAATCTGGCATAAAAAAATGTTCTACAAATGTAGCAAACCAAAATCTTAATACCAGGTGAAAACATCCCTGGAAATAAAAGGGAATTAACTCAATCTTTTACAATTCGTAAAAGGGGAGTAACCCTTTTGTAATAGATTAACGAGGAGCCACATTGGTGTTAACAGCCTTTTATTTACAGACGCCATGATGCAAAGAGAGAGAGTGAGAAGCGAGAGAGAACTATTTATAGATAACAACATGTAAGGGACATCACTCAAGATAACAATATAAATATAATACTAATACAGAAGAGTGAGTTCCCTTGACCTCACAATTATCTCAATCTATTACAATTATCTCAATCTATTACATCCCTTTACCCTTAGAACACAATAACACATCTCTCAATAGAACAATTGATAGTATCCTAAAATCACCAATTATATTGTAACATGAACACTATGGTAGATTACATCCTTACAAACAATGCACAATATGCTACAACATAATCAAGATACAAAACAATGATGTCAAAGTCCTTTTGACCTTCAAAATCATAGGTCTAACTTATTTGGGACTTTGATTGTCCTGCTTGACCTTCTCAGTGGCTTTTGATTTGGTGACTCAAGATTCTGACCATCTGGATTCTCTATCTCAGGAGGTCTAGGATTTAAATCATTAACTCCAGAATTTACATTTTCTGACTCCAGACAACTTGGTTCACTCATATCAACAGAACTTGGTTGTGGAACAAACTGAGTTGGTGTGAACTGATCAGACTTGGTGGGATTGACAGATTCACACTTATTATCTGCACAAGTTATTTTTAACTTTATAAGACACAGGTCCTGTACATTGAACAATTTGACCTGGTATCCATTTTTCCTTTCTCCCATGATTTCTTAGATACACATTCTCATTAACACCAAATTCTCTTTCAATGGGTGTTCTGTCATGATTTACTTTTTGAATTGGCATCTGAAAGTATTATGCTATTATTCAGATCCTTAATTGACATAGATTTCTTTGATTGATCAATTTTCTCAGGTAATCTGATAGTGCTTGTTGGTAACCAAAAATACTGTTTATGAGTAATATTCTGGACCATATCACTTTGCAACTGTGATCCAGTATTTGAAGTGGGTGTATTAAATGGCAAAAATCTTTTTCTTCTTTTGATGTTACCCTTTTAGTTTCTGTAAGTGCTAATGATGTTAGCAAAGTTGTTTGATGATCACATGTTAATATAAGTCTTTTCCCTGGGTCATAGTGAGTTAGTAAGGTGTCAGCAGACAAAGCCTCTTTTGCTGTATTAAAAGCAGCTTCTTGTTGTTTACCCCAGTGCCAAGTTGCATTTTTCTGTAGCAGCTTGTACAGTGGTGATAGTTTACCAGACAGATTTCCTATGAACTTTGCATAGTAATTTATCAAGCCCAAAAAAGCTCTTAGTTGTTGGGTATTTTCAGGTTTGGGTGCTTCTTTAATGGCTTTTGTTTTCTCAGGTTGAGGTTTGATGCCTTGCTTGCTTAATATATAACCAAGAAAACTAATTTCTGTCAGCATGAATTGACATTTATCTTTGTTTATCTTTAAACCTTTTTCACCAACAATTTTCAATACTTTATCAAGTGTTTTAAGATGTTCAGTGTCATTCTTACCAGTTATGTACACATTGTCAAAGTACACACAAACATTTGGAATGTCCTTAAAAATACTGTCCATGACAGCTTGGAAAATTCCAGGGCTAGATGATATGCCAAAACATAGTCTTTCATATTGGTAGAGTCCTTTATGTGTGTTTATTGTCGTATAGACTTTTGAATCTGGATGCAGTTCTAGTTGAGTGTAAGCATGACTAAAGTCTAATTCAGTGAATTTGTCTCCTCCTGCCAAATTCAAAGAAATTTCCTCAATGTTAGGTATAGGGTACCTATTTAGCTCTATTTGCTTATTCAGTGTAGTTTTATAATCTCCACAAATTCTTATAGAACCATCCTTCTTTAACACTGGCACAATGGGTGTCGCCCAATCGGAATAGTCTACCTTCTTTATGATGCCATTAGATTCCAATCTACTTAGCTCATTTTCAATTTTATTCCTCATTGCATAAGGTGGAACTCTAGCTTTGCAGTATCTTGGATTTGTGTCTTTAATGCTTAACTTCACTGTTCTATCATTTAGTAATCCTGGATTACCAAAAACACATTTATTTTCAGATATAACTTTATCTAGTGAAGTAAGACTAGATTCTTTTCCATTGTTCAATGAACAAATACTCTCCCAATTTAACTTAAGATCACTTAACCAGTTCCTACCTAGTAATGGCGGTCCATTTCCTTCAACCACAAGAAGAGGAAGTTTAACACTTTGACCATTATAACTTACATGAACCATACACTCTCCTATTACCGGAACATTGTCACCAGTGTATGTTGTTAGACACTTGTGACATGGCTGTAGAGGCACTGATCCTCCTGTGACAGCGTCAAAATCTTTCTTTGTTATGACTGTTAGAGATGCTCCAGTGTCAAGTTGGAAGCTGATGCTCTTACCGTTGATATTAACTGGTACATTGATGGGAGCATGACTTATTGATTTCACAGAGAATAGGTTGAAATCCGGCTGCGAATCAGTTTGAGCATTTTCACAGGTAGAGTGGTTCATTGGTTGGGTTAGGTAGTCTTGGTGAGAGTTAACATAGTGCTGCCTTTGGTTGCGGTACTGTCTTGACTGGCTAGATTTAGCAACAGACGAAGACTTTGCAAAGCAGGCCTTAGCGATGTGACCTTGCTTTCTGCACTTATAACAAGTTGCAGACTTGAACTTGCACCGATGAGATGCATGGGGACCTTTGCATCGATGACATTTTTGATAATTATTACTAGATTTAGATCTAGGATTTGAACGAGCAGGCTGTTTAGCATAAGTTGGAATGCTCTGATGGGGTTGGTGTTTATTGACTAACCTGCTGTTTACTGCATGGATCTCTGAAGGTGCTAAAGATCTCGCCGCCTCTGATGACTGCTGGAATAAAGTTGCGAGTTGTATTGCTTTTTCTAATTTTAGATCTGACTCGAGCAGCAACTTTCTTTGAATATCAGGGCTGTTTACACCTGTCACAAACTTTTCACATAGTCTGTCAGACAGCGTTTCTCCAAATTCACAGAATCTACTTAAATGACGTAAAGCAGCAACATATTCTGATATTGACTCGTTTGGTTGACGAGTCCTACTGTCAAATCTAGCTCGACATAAAAACTTTGATGGGGTAGGCGCATGGTGGTCTGTTAGCAATTTGCTCAGCTCGTTAAAGCTCTTGGTAGTTAGACTAGCTGGTGCGCATAAGTCTTTTAGTAGCCTAAATTGTTGAGGCCCTATGACTGTTAACAAAACAGCTCTCTTTTTGGCTTCTATCGTCACGTTGTTAGCTTCTAGGTAAAAGCTTAACCTCTCTAGGTAATCTTGAATGATTTCATCATTCGCATCAAATTCTTTTATTTGGCCATACAGCGCCATTATTCTAGAAATAATTAGCTAATAAGCTCTAGCAAACCTCTTTTTTGCGTAAGTAGGTGCTCTTTCTAGTAGATGTTTATCCTTCGTCGCCAGTTATAATAGATTGACGACGAGCCACATTGGTGTTAACAGCCTTTTATTTACAGACGCCATGATGCAAAGAGAGAGAGTGAGAAGCGAGAGAGAACTATTTATAGATAACAACATGTAAGGGACATCACTCAAGATAACAATATAAATATAATACTAATACAGAAGAGTGAGTTCCCTTGACCTCACAATTATCTCAATCTATTACAATTATCTCAATCTATTACACCTTTCAAAAGAATAATAATACATCAAAGTCCCTCAGAAAGGGGTATTACAATATTTCCATGGTGATACTATAAGTGGTAAACCAGACAAGGTAAATCCTTTATTTCAATGACTAGCTACAATATCAACTGAGTCATATGAGACATTTTATCATAAAAGATTATGTATAATGAAAAACCACCTTAAAATAAGGTTCACCTGAAAATAAACAAAATTCTCAACAGGATTGTAAGTTCGAAAAAATCCAAAACTCAGACCACTCACATTCATGTGAATATCACCCAAACCAAACGATTGTTTAACCGTAAAAAATGTAGTGACTTATATCACGATAGTAAAAGAGGGTGGGTGCTTTTTTCGCTTAATTAAATTGCAAGGATTTACACTGGATTGGTGAGGAGCAGTAGCGTAGCGGGGGCGCGAGGGGGACATATGTCCCCGGGCGCCGAGCTTAGGGGGCGCCAAAATGGGTTGGAAAATTGAAAGTTCGAGGGGGGGGGTGCAAATTAAAATCTCGAGGGGGGATGCAAATCGAAAGTTTGAGGGGGGGGGGGTGCAAATCAAAATCTCGAGGGGGGGGGGCGGTGCAAATCGAAAGTTTGAGGGGGGGGGGTGCAAATCGAAAAGTTTGTTCCCGGGCGCCGGGAAGGGTCGCTACGCCTCTGGTGAGGAGATAACACAGATCGCTTAGAAAAGAAACTTATTTTACTCAAAAGGTGTAAACATATTTTCTGTTTCAGTCTGACGTGAATAAATCTTTAGGCCCACCAGAACGTGCTCGTGGGATCACACTAAATCAACTGACTGTAAAAACGATGGGGGGGGGGGATGTGTGTCATAAGCCCTACTCTAACCAGATAAAAAAACAACAACTAGAAATGTATAGTATAGCCTACATGTCGTAAATGTAAAAGCGGTGTAGGCCTAGTTTGTGAACTCTTGTCTTCAAGGGAGATTACTCTAAAAATATATTCAAGATGGGGACCCAAGTTTTGATTCTCAAACGACAAACATCGCAAAAAAGTTCATTTTAGGAGTGTTTTAAGATCATTTACGAATTACAACATCAGATAAGAAAGGTCTAATGTTACTAAAGCTTACACACGTGAACAAGTCAATAGCCGCATAGCCATAGGCCTATTTTCAACATTTTGTGTTAAACATGTTGGAGAAAAATATTTTATAAAATAGATCTAGATTTTAGATCAAGAATTCTAGATCTAGATTCTAGATCTAGATCTAGTTGTTAGCCCTATTGGTCAAAACTAGTGACAAAGCAAAGAAATAACCAAATAGCTAAAAATCCAGCACATTTAAAATAACACACACGTGAACAAGTCAATAGCCGCATACGCGCATAGCCATAGGCCTAATCCTAATATTTAATATAGATTCTAGTAATACTAAACTAATAGGCCTAATAATAATAACTAATGGAGGCGAGCGAGTTGACGAGATTCCTTCCATAATGTTGTTGACATGGAATGAAAACGTGCTTTTTAGATTTAGACCTTAATAAAAAATAAAAACTTAAGCCTAAAATTAATTTAGAAATTTTATATTTTTAGAATAAATGCTATAAAAGTTGCAAATCCAGAGAACTTGAAAATCATTTGTTGAGTTTAAGGTTACATTTCTATTTATTTTCATCAAGCCTAAGTTATAACCGGATGTTTCACTTTTGTAAGACAAATATTGATTGGCTGTACAGTAACTTAGTGATCGATAACTATTTGTTTACAAAACTTTGCAGATCAAGTTTTTAAATAACAATGCAAATTTAAAACCCCATGACCTTGTTTTCTATTTTTAGCTTACAATGTGTACAATAAAATCTATGGCGGCCTATCCAATAACAGGATGCCATTGTTTATGTCGCCATTACACGTGAAAACCAAATTGTTTTTGCTTTTTTTTAAATTTTTATTTAGTTACCGAAAATATTATAAACATCAAATACATCCAATCTTTAGTAAAGTCAGAAAAAAACCAGACAGACAGGATTTTATAACCATATTAATTGTAACTACGCCGTGCAAGATTTTAAAATTAATTTATACACCTCTCAAATACCTTTGAGGCTTTTCTCGCTCGTGTCCATTGATGTTAAACATGTTGGAGAAAAATATTTTATAAAATAGTTAGATCTAGATCTAGAATTCTAGTCTAGATCTAGTTGTTAGCCCTATTGGTCAAAACTTGATCTAGTGACAAAGCAAAGAAATAACCAAATAGCTAAAAATCCGGCACATTTAAAATAACGGCTACCAATACTTAGGCTATTAATATTAATCAATGTTTGTCTTAAGAAAGTGATAACTTAGGCTTGATGAAGATAAATAGAAATGTAGCCTTAAACTCAACACATTATTTTCAAGTTCTCTGGATCTGCAACTTGTATAGCATTGATAAAAAAAATATTAAATTTCTGAATTAATTTTAGGCTTAAGTTTTTAATAAAATGTTTGGCCTATCTTTTATTATTTTTACGGTCCTAAATCTAAAAAAGCACATTTGTATTCCATGTCAACAACATTACGGAAGGATTTTCATCGATTGTTTGTCAACTCACTGGTGTCCATTTGAGCCATAATATTATTTATTATTATTAGGCCTAATAAATTATTAGGCCTAATAAAAAAATAATAATAGCCTAAGTATTGGTAGCTGTTGTTATTTTAAATGTGCAGGATTTTAAGCTATTTGGTTAGGCCAAGGCTATTCCCAGCCGGTTGGGAATAGCCGTATTGGGGCTATTCCCAGCTGACTGTGAATAGCCCCAATACGGCTATTCACAGTCAGCTGTCATTTCATGCTAAATACTACTGTGAATAATGTCTTAAAATAATAAAAGCATTTATTGTGACTGGGGAGTGAGGTATAGATTAAGAAAGCAGTGCTATTTTTATTTTGTTATATTTTTATAAAAAATTTATTACGGTTAAAGTTTAGTTTAGCTTTTAGGCTCATATCAGACATATCTGCTACAGGCTACGTGTAGGTCATAGATGGATCAATTAATAATTGATAATTATGCACTCTAAATCTATACACTAGAATAATAGATTTAGTAATTTTTAAATAAATAATACTAATTAAGCATCAGTTTAGTTGGTTGTTCTAATTGCTATTCAACTTTCAATTACCATTAAAAATTCACATTATCACATAGAATAAATATCAGGTGAAATAGTTAATAGTATGTCCTTTTTCATCAGCAATAATTCAGTTTCCAACACACTTGTGTTTTTTTCTCTTAGCAAAAATCTATGGGACATGTCTTTTTTTTTTCTTTTTTGCTGATATGTCAACAAAAGAAAAAAATTAACAAAAATAACACATCCAAACTCAAGTGACTGAAAAAAATATTTTGATAATAAGATTAAGAGGCATTCATTAAGATCATAGCAATATGTCATCTGATGGATTTGAACCCGCACCTTCTGGCACCACCGGCCACTGCCCATGACCGCTGGACTAAACATCTTCATGCCCAGATGGGTATTTTTAGTATTAAATCTATCAAAAACGGTCACGACTGTGAATAGCCCCAATACGTTAATATTATTATTAATAATTTATTAATAATAATATATAATATTATGGCCTAAATGTCAAATGGACACCAGTGAGTTGACAAAAAATTGCCGAAAATCCTTTCTTAATGTTGTTGACATGGAATACAAATGTGCTTTTTTAGTTTTAGGACCGTAAAAATAATAAAAGATAAAATTTTATAAAAAACTTTAATATTTAATAATTTAAAATATTTAAAATTAATAAATTTAAAATTTAATATTTTTTGAATCAATGCTATACAACTTGCAGATCCAGAGAACTTGAAAATAATGTGTCAAGTTTAAGGCTACATTTCTATTTATTTTCATCAAGCCTAAGTTATAACCCGATGTTTCACTTTCGTAAGACAAACATTGATTGGCTGTTCAGGAACTCGTGATAGATTTCTGACAGCCCCACTTTATAGTTTTTTTGTTTACAAAACTTTGCAGATCAAGTTTTTAAATAACAATGCAAATTTAAACAACATGACCTAGTTTTTCTTTTTTTAGATTACAATGTGTACAATAAAATTTATGGTGGCCTATCGAATAGCAGGATGCCATTGTTTAGGTCGCCATTTTAAATTTTTTTTTTTAGTTACCGAAAATATTAAAAACATCAGATACATCCAATCTTTAGTTAAGTCCAAAAAAAAACCAGACAGGCAGGATTATTTACATTATTTGTCAACACAACACCTTATTAAATGAACACACTGATTAAGTCTGATTAAGAGAACTAAATTGTTTCTTTAAGTAATTTGTATTACTTTTAGGCGATAAAATTGTATAGATTTCATAGCGTACGTCCCCATAAGTAGATCTATAGATCTAAATCAAATTTGAATGAAATAGTTCATTTCTTTATTTTCTAAAATTGGAAGATGATGCCATTAGTTTTGAACTGTTTTGTGTTCTTTCTATAGTTTAAAGATGTCACTAGTGAAGTCATTGTTTATTTCATTCTTTTCACAACAATAAATGCTTTTCTGGTTGCATTATTAAAATTGCATTTCTACATTCGAATATGCCTTAAATTGTATTTCCCTTCTTTAAATAAAATTTATAAAATTTAGATTATACATTAAATACATTAAATACATTTATAACATCCACCATATATATTATTTTCAACAAAAGCCACTATCTACAAGTTCTCCATATTTAGCGGAACATTCTGATCACAATCGCCTTAAAAAACTTGCGGACAGAGAGAGAGAGAGCGAGAAGTACGCAAATAAACTTTTATATATTAGGATTAATATAGATCTAGAGGTAATCTATCGTTTTAGGTGTGTAAAATCCTCCGAGGCTGGTAATGTGAAAAAAGTTGCCTCATTGTTAAGGCTTTAATAGATGTATAATATGATATATTTTTGTCAAATATTATAGATAACTAAATAATAAAGCAATGGCTAAATATATCAATATAGGTCAGAAATTAACCTTAAACAGCAGTGTTTGCGAGCAAGATTCGCTATATAAACAGCGGCCACCTGTATATTAGAGTGGTTTCCCCTGAATCTCTAATTATAATTTAGCCAAAAAATTTAAACAAGATGATTGCTAAAATAAATGAGCTTGGTTGCATTGGCTGTAAACATTGCTAGATCTAGTCTTTATTTATTACTAAAAAGTTTTAATACATTTATTTAAAAACAGTTACATGAAACTTTGAAACATTTATGTAGCTTTCAAAACTTAAATCCTCCTATATATTTTTAAATACTATTTTTAATTTGGTTTTCTAATCAAGATTATTTTTTTTTCAGTTTTTTCTGCAATAATTCATGAATCTAAAGCTATGGAAAACACAAAGGACACTAATTGTATAGTTTGGGAGAGTTCAATTATGGTTAAACAGGAATTGAGTGACGAAATCATAACATTTATGGACATGAAATCAGATGAAACATCAGAAGGAGTACAAAGAAATATATCAACACTCTTTTCAAATTCTGAAGATATAAAGCAAAATGTATCAACACAATTTTCAACTGTTAAAGACAAATACTTGGAGGAAACAATGCTATTTTTAGCTTTAGAAGATAAAAATCTTGATAAAACAAAACCTTTGTTTAATTTAGAAGAGATGAAACAAAATAACCCAACATCATTTTCATCTTCTGAAGACATGAAACCAAATAAATCAACAGCATTTTCAATTTTTGAAGATATAAAACCTGAGATATTAACAATTTCATCTTTGGAGAGTGAACAACAAAATGGTTTCAAAGCACAGCAACAACTTTCTTCCCCACCAGATTCAACTGATTTTAAAGAAAATTTTGCAGTTTTAAAATCAGATCTTCAATATGAATTAAAAGAACTCAAGTTATTGCATACAAAATTGATTGATAATCTTCCAACAGAATATCTGATTAGCAATAAGGGACTGAAGACATACAAGTGTGATATGTGTTGTCAAAGATTTTTTCATTTTGATCATGTTAAACAACACATATACATTCACACAAGGGTGAATCCATATGGTCATAATTTTCGTCAGCAAGAAGTTGTTATGATCAGTCAGGGTGAACAGATTAACAAAATAAACCTAGAACAGGTATACAATAAGTCTAGTTTGTCTAAAAAGTTCACTACAAAGTCTAGTTTATCCGCACACACAAATATTCATTCTGGAATTAATAAGCCATATGAATGCTATGTGTGTCATAAAAAATATCATATTAAAAATCATTTAGCAAACCATATAAAGATACATTTAGGAGAAAGTCCATATGAATGTGGTGTGTGTCATAAAAAATTTAGTCAGAAAGGTCATTTATCAGAACATACAAATATTCATTTATCAGAGAGACCATATGAATGTGATGTGTGTCACAAAAAATTTAATCAAAAAAGTGTTTTATCAAAACATAAAAGTATTCATTTACCAGAGAGACAACATAAATGCGATGTATGTCATAAAAGTTTTGCCCTTAAATCTAGATTATCTATACATAAAAATATTCATTTACCAGAAAGACCATATGAATGTGATGTGTGCCATAAAAAATTTAGGCATAAACATTATTTATCCGAACATAAAAGTATTCATTTATCAGATAAACCATATGAATGTAATGTGTGTCACAAAAAATTTAATAAAAAAAGTTATTTATCTGCACATAAAAATATTCATTTACCAGAGAGACCATATGAATGTGATGTGTGTCATAAAATTTTTAGTGATAAACGTTATTTATCAAAACATAAAAATATTCATTTACCAGAGAGACCATATGAATGTGATGTGTGTCATAAAAAATTTAATTGTAAAAGTAATTTATCTATACATAAAAATATTCATTTACCAGAGAGATCATATGAATGTGATGTGTGTCACAAAAAATTTAATTATAATGCTAGTTTATCTACACACAAAAATATACATTTACCAGATAGACCATATGAATGTGATGTGTGTCATAAAAAATTTAATTGTAAAAGTAATTTATCTATACATAAAAATATTCATTTACCAGAGAGATCATATGAATGTGATGTGTGTCACAAAAAATTTAATTATAATGCTAGTTTATCTACACACAAAAATATACATTTACCAGATAGACCATATGAATGTGATGTGTGTCATAAAAAATTTAATTGTAAAAGTAATTTATCTGCACATAAAAATATTCATTTACCAGAGAAACCATATGAATGTAATGTGTGTCACAAAAAATTTAATAAAAAAAGTTATTTATCTGCACATAAAAATATTCATTTACCAGAGAGACCATATGAATGTGACATTTGTCATAAAAAGTTTGCTCGTAAGTCTAGTTTATCTACACACACAAATTTTCACTCAGGTCTTGAATGTGTTGTTGGTTATTAAATTCTTTTTTCACAAGGATCTTTAATTATCTATATATACAAGTATTGCTTTTTTACTAATACCACATTTGAGGCTGAAAACACACCATTAATGTTTGTCATACAAATACTCTTCATAGTATTATTTGTCATACAAAGTATTACTAATGATTAAAATGCTATCTAGACATTTCACACACAGGAAGAAAAACTACATGGAAAGAATGGATGTCATGAATCTCCATAGCACATTTATTATCTTGTACAAGGTGTTATGGCTAGCTTTGTTTCGGTTTTTTGGAAATATGATGGCTAAATTCTTATCCTTTATATTACCCATACAACAATACTAACCACTAATGAACACCAACATTTTAAATGTACAATTATAATTTGAATCATTGAAGTAATATTTACTCTATATTTTTCTTTATTGAATTTATTCCAATTTATGTAATTCTAAATTTTGTATAAATAATTATATAACCCATTAAGTAAATCATAATTATGATAATTGAATTGAGCAACAAAATGTATTAATTAATGTAGCTAAAAATGATTAAATTTTTAAGACATAAGATACAATTTATTATTATGATTATTATTGATGTTTAATTTATCTTTTTTTAAAAGACATAATAAATATTTTCAGCTATTAATTAATCAGACAGCATTTATTCCATTTTGTTAGGGTTATTATGATTGGATCGGCTGTTATTATATACAGATCTAGATCTATCTATCTATCCTTATATATATATATATATATATATATATATATATATATATATATATATATATATATATATATATATATATATATATATATATATATATATATATATATATATATATATATATAAATGAATGTATTTGTTTTTTTTACTTTCTCGTATATACGAAGTATAGAGAAAGTCTTGTAATCGTGCACAAAAATCACATTAAATTTGGACAGTTTTCACCGTTTTACTCCTCAGTCCTTCATCACATCCGGGATATAGAAGACTTATTTTAATCGGGCAAAAATCATAAACTCAGATATATAAAATTTTTTGCGTTTTATGCGTAATGGAGTTGGAAAAACTGGATTATCCAATTCTGTCCGTGTGTAAACACGATAACTTGAGTACCGTTACAGCTAGGTTGATGAAATTTCATATATAAGTATTTTATCAAAATCGTAGATCCGTATCAACTTTTGAGCGATTTCCGATAACCGGAAGTGGTACTTTTTTACTTTGAATTTTTCAAAAATAGTTATTTAATTTTTTATAACAAAGTAATGCTAACATGTTTCCTACACAATTTATATTACTTTCTTAAAAGTAAGGACGCTTTTTGCAAGATGTTAAGTAATGAAAATTCTTGATTTTCGGCATTAAGGAAGGATGCCTTATATTGTTTTGCAGAATGACTGTTTCATGTTTCTGTGTTAATCATATATTAAAAACATCATGGTCTTCAATATGGTTTAAATTTTATTTTGATACCTTACTTTATTAACTTGTTATAATTTTTTGAAAAAGGATGAAATTTCTAATTTTTGTAAACTGACCTTGCTGAATCTTGTCTCACTAATTGTATTCTTTATTAATTCTTTGCCTGTTTATTTCATATTAACATCCTTTGAATTTCCTTTCTTAGAACATTTACATTATTAATGTGGTTTAATTAGTTTATTTTATATGATTTTTTAAAAATGACTGTAAATTGACTTTTTGTCTCCCTTTTCGTACTTTGGTAAAATTGTGCTTTGGCTCATTTTTAAGTGAATAAATTTTCCATTTATATCTGTCTGACAACATTGAAAAACAATTGGGTTTGCTATTTGTATTACTGGCTGTGTGTGCAAGAAATTTGTGAGTTCTAACTTAGTTATTTTAGAAGTTAGGAGGTGTCTCAAATAGACCCTTTACTGCTCGAAAAGCGAACACATTTTTCGAGTTTTAAAAAATTCATAACTTTTTAAAAAATGGACATACATCAATAAATTTGGTGTTTCTGTTCTGATGAAAGCAATCCCTATCAGGTGGAAGTGTTAAATTTTATTTAATTTCATTATGAAAATTTCATTTAGAATACCTAATATAAGCGAGTGGTCGTTCTACTTTTTTTTACTGACACGTGTTTCTCTAAATATCCACGCACAAGCAATAGAATATCACAAACTAAACATATGGACATGCAAGGAGATGTAGGGTTGTAGACTCACTTGTAAAACTCATGAAAACTATAGTTTTAGTCGCTCAGACATAGATGATAGAGTTACATAAGTCTGCTGCACCTGCTCACGGTATATCTCTTATGGTTTTATGAATGGGTAGTTTGAAACATTGCTATAACAAACTACACGCGGAAGGACTTTCTCAATGTGTATAACCTTAGTTGTCTCTGGTTACGGTTTTTTCGTGAACTCCTATTCAAGGTCAATTAATGAAGACGCATATTTCTCATTTGACCTATATTTGCCATACACACAAAGCACGTGAACAAATAGGCCTACTGTCTAAATGACAGTGTTCAACCGTTGTATATTCTTCCATGCTCAATGCAGCTGCTGTGGGTACTTAGTGTCACTGCTGTGGGTACTCAGTGCCACTAGTGTGGGTACTCACTGCTATTGTTGATGGTACCCAATGTTTCCGATTTCGGTTCTTCGTGCTACGGCTGTTGTGCTCGAATGATAGTGCTATTGATTACCAATGACATATTGCCACTGGTAAGGGTACTCAGTGCTGAAACAGTGGGTACTGAGTGTTGAAGCCATGTGTACTCAGTGCTACTGCAGTCGGTTCTTGGTGTCACTACTGTGGGTACCAAGAACTGGAGCTCTTGGTAATCGATGACGTTCCTGTGGGTACTCAGCCTTAGCAGTGGGTACTCAGTATTACTACTGTGGGTACTTAGTGCTGAAACTGTGATTGCTCAGTGTCACTGATTTTGGTAATTAGTGCTTAAGATGTGGGTACTCATTTGCACTGATGTCTGTACTAAATGCCAATATAATGCCACTAAAGTGGGTATCTAAAAGCACTGCAAAGGGTATTTTTGTCAGTATTCAACCTTACTGTATTTATTACGAGGTGTAGGTCTATGCTCAGTTTTATTATTGTTAAGGTCACTATGAAGACCTATCTTTAGTGGAATCCAGGATAATGGTCTGTGACCTACTTAGGTCTTCTTTTTTTGATAGTCTAATTTTATTAATGTTTAAATGGCATTGAGCTATCTTTTGTTAGACTAAGAAATTTTCCACCACACTCATGTGATAGTATAAGAAATTTTCCACCACACTCATGTGATAGTATTCACAACTGTGCTCGTGTTTTGGCTCCATCCCCCCAATGGTCCTTAGCCTTGGTGTCAACATCCCATCATTTTAGGGTGATATAAAAAGAGGAATTTTCCAGACATGAGGCGCGCACAAGACATCATGAGAGAAGCCATAGCTTCCATATTGTGTTCGGCCGTAATTAACTTATGTTTCAGTAGTACTCAGTATTGAATTTTCACAGTGTAGGCTGTGTTAATTAGATATTTTTTCCAGTGTTAGGGTGTAATTTTGCGCTCATGGCTATCCCTTGAGCGCTATGGCGCCTATGTTCATTTTAAACAGTGCAATAGACATTGGATAAAATGGGGCATTAAAGTCGTTCACGAAACTGTATCAGGCGCGTCCGCTGACGCCCCTGTAGGTTGCGATTTTCCTAGAGTTATCCTCGGACTTTATTCTAGCCCCGCGGCAACGCGCGGGGACGGGCACGCTAGTCTATATATAAAATTACGTAGAACGATTCCATTAGATTGATGCAGTGACGTGCAGACGGATCTAGGATCATCTAGTGGTCTGGAGATATATCTGTTGGATACCTTTACTAATATTTAGGAAGAGACCCACGCTTTTCTTTAAAGTTACTTGAATAATAGTGTATTATTATATATTTAAAGAAAATCTTTTGTTTTTTACTTTTTAGTGCATTGTTACATAAAAGCTTTTTATTAAAACGTTTTTATTAATTTTTTGTTTAGTACTTTAAATTCTTTAATTAAAAATAGAGTTGCATGACTAAAAACTATTTCGCACCTAATGAAATAGTGTGCAATAGTTGGATAAGGCTGCCAACTAATTTGAAATACTAATTTTAATTACTTCATAAAAAATTAATAAGGCATCTTATTAACCCTTCATTTCACTCAGATTTTAACATTTGTGTAGATTCAATGGGGGTTATTTCACTTTGTATCAAAATTGATACAACATGAAATGAAGGGTTAAGTCGCATTCAGGCACATGTCAATTCTAGAATTCGCTGTATGTCCATAAAATCCAAATGTGTCAAAATGCTGTGTTTTGTGTTACTTAAGTCTTAAAGCATTCGGCGACTGACACAGCCTAATACACGGACAGCAATCCACTGATTTGAATTTGATGGTATTAAAATTAAGCGACTCTTGCAGGAAAAAAAGATACGCAATAGAGAAAAACTACCACCTTCATACACAGCGATGTTTTCGATGGTACTGCGTTTACAAGCAAACCACAGAACACTAACCCTAGCCCTAGCGCAGCTATTAAGGTCACCGCGCATGCGAAGAACTATTGAGTTTGGTATTTTCTGCCGAAAAATCTTTTTTCCAAGTAGATCTAGATCTAGGCCTAGTCACTTCGTAAAATTAAACTTTGAATATAACCCACCAGTTCCTCCCGAAACCCCGTCCCTAAGTTCAGAGCGAGAATTCGTTGAAGGAGCTACAATCCAGGTCACGTGTCGTGTCGCTACGGGTCATCCAGGTCAAGGGTCAGTACATTGGAAGTATTACGACAACGGGGTAGATATAACGTCACTGGTTGAGCCGCAAGTCTCAAGCATATTGTGTGAGTTACAAAAAAATTTCACTTTACAAATTGTAGTTTGTAAGTTTTTATTCTGATTGATTATCGTTATTCGGTTATATTTAATTTTATTTTTCACACATTCTTTTTTACATTTAATTCATATTAAAAAATTCTTCATCTTAGTAGTAATATTTTAAGGATATTTTCTTCAACATAATTAAATACAGTGGTAACTCGATAAACGAGTTTAATTCGTTCCGTAACAATACTATATGTCCAAGTGATTTTCTTTTTTGATATTAATTAAAGTGCCATTAATCTGTTGCAGCCCACTAAATATATAACAAAAGTGTATATATTTATGACAAGTATTGTTTTATAACATAATAAATGATGATGTAGGGATATAAGCAAGTTTTATAAAGTGCATTTGCCTAAAAAATCAGCCGACTTGAACTTTGGGGTCATCCATCGTTTTTTTGACGATTTTTACCTCGCACCTTCCTTCCGTCACACATTGTCACAAAAAGCCAGACCCCTCTCTTTAATGAAGTCACACCTCAGCATTCCCCCTCCCCTTAAAATTGCAGTTGAATTCTTCTTAAAACATCGACCAAAATCTTATCTTAACTCTGTCAAAATAAAGTATTTTAATCTATTCCTATTACAATTTATTAAAACAGTTTTCTAAAACGGGAAATAACAGCTAAAACTCGTTTTCGAACATTGCTTTTTATAAAGCAAAAAAATGACGTCGCACCATCTGAACCACTCCCCGTCCCCCTCATCACGTACCGTCACAAAATTACGGAACCCCCCCTCCCCTCTACGAGTGTGACGTCATTATGGACGACCCCTTAAGGAAGATGTTGAAGAAAGTGTAGGTCTAGTGTAGGGTGGAGGAGATGTGTTGAGGAGCTTCGTCTCGTTAAATTACTCACTGTTAATTGTAACGTTCTTTTCATCACTTTATTTCACTTAACGAAACTTAAACTTCGCCAAACATAATTGAACCTAAATGCTAC